ATACTGGGCATTATTGTTTCCTATACTAAGTAAATGTTTGGTAAAGGTTAGACAGAGTGTTTACTGCCCACCACAAGCCATAGCACCCAAAAAAGATGCAAATAAAAAATCATTTTATTTCAAAGCATCTTCTTCTCAAAAGCTTGTGCATTCAAAATGTAAGCACAGCAAATAGATACAAAAATGTAAGGGAAAGTGAGAAAGATTTAGAAATTTAGAACACTCAGTGATTAAAAACAAAATATTTGAAAAATACTCATTAAGGAAAGTGTTCACCACATGTTTATTGAAAAATCAAACACATACTCTTTGTTCAGTGTTCTTCCAGTTTGCCTCTAGGTGTGTACCTGAGAATGAGGCCCTTGAGGAAACAATGAGGGCTGCACCTGAGAGACAGACGGAAAAGGCCCCTCTCATCTTGCTCTTCCGATTCTTATTCACGTGTCTGAACTTTACAACATGTAGAAACCCACCAAAAGCTGCTATTCAAAATGAATATATTTAGACCAGGAAGCTAAATGGGTGAAAAGAAAGCAAAATAAACCTTAACAGTATCTATTTACCAAAGAAGCAGAGATATTTTGCAAACTACTAAATTATGTGAAATGTCTTATGTACTACATATCAAATAATGAGAATATACTCAAATTGTGCAATATTATACCAAATCAAATCAGCCTAAATTTTGCTTTTCATCTACTATTTTTCTACTATAGGCAACATCTTTTGAGTATTTGGATAATGATTTTCTAAAAACTAATTTTGGAAAACAATAAAATAAAGCCAACCTAGATGCAGTATAATATAAAGAGAAACATTTTAGGAAAACTTTTCTAAAAATATACACATGGTGAGGTCCCAGAATAAAAACTTTCACTTTCATTCTATTTTCATTTCATTTTGTTTTGCTAGAAATATTAAGGATGCACAATTTATACAATTTTTAATTTTAAAAATTAAATGATAAAAGACAAAAGAAAGGCTTATGTGCTAGATCTTATTTCAGTCCTACAGAATTTACTCCTCCACTGCCTATCACGCCTAGGATAAGTCACTCACCCTCTTTGCTACTTGCTCCATTAGTTGTATCATTTATCAAATCTAAGAAACTGATTTTGTACTGGTTGGCCTAAAATAATCTGAACCAAAATATAATGTTTTTTAAAAAGCAAAAATGAAGTCATGAACAGGTTTTGTATCAATAAGCATGATTGGTCCCTTTTTTAAAATTTTTTTTAATTTTTTTTTTTAGTAATTCAGCCACCAAACAAGTGGCAACAGGGTGCCAACTATAATACACTTACACAGGGAAAATTATTCAGAAGACTTGAGTGCCTACAGTCTAACAAGCTTAGCAAATGAAGTTCTTGCTTATGCTTCTCTGTGATGCCAGGTTAGCTGCACATGTTGGATCTCAGGTTCAAAATGAAACTTACAAAAAAAATTGAAACTTACTCATCTTATTCTCAACAATC